CAAACTCACACTACTTCAGGGAAGAAGCAATGGCTACAGTATATATCATCCCCAATTTATTTATGAAATATTTTACCAGGATGGATATATTGATTTCTCTTGTTTCCAAGTATGTCCTGGGTCCACAAAACATTGCATTGTTACAACAGGATACAATATACAAACAATACATATACATACATACACACACACACATATATATATGTATTGTTTGTAAATTGTATCCTGTTGTAACAATGCAATGTTTTGTGGACCCAGGACATACTTGGAAACATATACATATACACACATATATATTATACATATACACATATATATATATTAAAGAAAGTTGCAGGTGCACTCGTAGGTATTTCGTCAAGGTGAAACTTTTATTAGCTTATATACAAATTACATTTTCCGGATCAAAGTTTCGACCCCTAAAGGGTCTTTTTTAAGATCAATACTACAGTGCAAACAGTGAGAATATATATAAAGTGTATCTTAATTACTTACCAATACAGTGTGTAAATAAACAGCCACCCGTCCGAACCCGGAAGTGCACAGGTGGGACACGTGATCAACGTGATGACACGTGTGATAGCAACGGCATTGCTAAGCAACATACAAACAGAAAAAAGATTGTGAGGATCCCAGTGCTCGGTGATAAAGGATGAGCTATTATCAAAAGTGTATATAATACAAGTATAAAGAGAAGAGGATTAGATAGATATGAATCTTATATAACTAGATAGATAGCCTAGAGAGCCGCTACAGGCAAAAAACTGTGGATGTGCAGTGCAATGCGGTGACAAGTGTAAAAACGTGGTAAAGAACCATATGTGAAGAAAGACATAACAATAAAGCAAATTAGCTAAATAACTATTATGCAATACTGTTATTTGCTGCAAATAAATGTGAAAACATAATGCTGATAATTGCAATCACGTGTTAATACAGTTAATATTAGATCGGGAAGCTGGGTCAACATGTCCTGGGTCCACAAAACATTGCATTGTTACAATATTACAAAGAATACAATATACAAATATATATATATATATATAGAGGACCGCTTCCTAGCTGGAACAGGGTGCAAGGACCGCTTCCTAGCTGGAACAGGGTGCAAACCGCAGCACTTCTGCCCACAGTCGCTGTGGCTTGACTGGGGCCCTGGAACTGCTCCTTTCTGGAGCCAAATTGGGAATTAGCTCTAGTTCTTACAAGGACTTTCCCCGTTGAATCCCCTGCAAGCTGGAACAGCAGACACAGGAGTAAATCTTCTTTCCCTCCAATAACAGGACGACACACAGTATTTGAGTGTAAGCTGGAATAGCATTTTAATGGAGGCACACTGGCCTTTTATGCAAGTTTCCAAACAAGGACGACACCCAGGTGGACCTTTTTGGGCACAGGGACACAAAGTGAACAAACCAATAAAAACAGAGTCATACAGTGAGACACTCCCATAGTCTGTGCTTGGGAGATAATTGAATCAGGAACTGTACTAATCTAACCCAATTATCTCCAAGCACAGAAAAAACATACAATTCCATGAAACCCCAAAAAGTACTTCAAAAACACACAAAACCCCATAAACCCCATAGTCACATCCCCTGATAGCCCCGATCTGGGTGAACAACATATCCAATACATACATAAGATACATACACACAGACTGCTGAACACATACACACCAACACACACACACAGACTGCTGAATACGTACACACAGTCCACTAAATACACACACACAGACTGCTGAATACATAAAGACTGCTGAATACACACACTGCTGAATACACACACACACACACACAGACAGACTGCCGAGTACACACAGACAGACTGCTGAATACATACACACAGTCTGCTGAATACATACACA